CCTAACTTATCACTAGCTACTCCTTACCCTCAAGATACAGTTCAAACTCCCTCATATGGCTTAACAAACCCTCTAAGCAGGCCTGGCCCCACTTGTTTCTGCAGAATAATCCTTCAGTACCTACCCGCCCCCTCCAGACACGCCTGTGGTCCCTGGTCTGTGTTTAGCTTCAGGGCGGGCGGGCGGGTGTCATGTTCATTCTACCCCCCTGGTTCCTTTGCTCATGCTTTTCCTCCCACTCAGTCTCTCTTCCTTGCAAGCCCGTAGGCGTCAGCCTAGGAGTCACTTCCCAGGGAGCCTGCCAGCTTTGTGTAAGACCTTCCAAAGAGCCTCATGGCACCCTGTGTTTGCCTCTTGAGAGTACATCCCATGGCTGATGTATGTACCTGGTTCCTCCATTAGACTCAGAAGTTTGAAGGCAGAGGCTGTGTTTGCTCATCACTGTATCCCCAGTGCCCAGTAGTGCCTGGTGCATAATGCATAACCTGTAAATATTTTATCTGTGCAGTGAATGGATGGCTCTGCCATGTTATATACACATCCTTTATGCACTTACCGAGTGCTGCTATGTCTCATGCACCATAATGTGTCACTTCATAAGTGCAGGGGCAACTCAGTGCCAGAATCCTCAGAATCTTGACTCCGGTGCTCCTTTAGGCTATCATCTGTGTGGGTCACATGAGTTTCTGCATAGCTGGGAGTTTGGCCTCTAAGTGTTTTTGCAGCACCCATACACCCATCTTCCTCTTATCTTATCTGCCTCTTTTCTGCCTTTTCAGGGGCCATTAAGGTTCAGTCTGCAGCTCTGAGCCACCCCAGACTGCAGGGGGGTGGGCCTCCAGCTTCTGTCTCTTCAACTTCGCTGCTTTTCTTCCCTGCTTTCAGTGTCTGCCTGGCCCTTTCCCCATCGCCACCTCTACTTCCTTGATAGACCTCGCTCTACCAGGCTCTATCCAGCGGAATAAGACCTCTGCCCTCAACTAGCTCACCTCCTTGTAGCTTAGTTAAGCAAACATTAATTGCATGCATCCTCAGTCTACGTAGCCAAGTGTTGTCCACTTCGACTTCAGAACTTGTCCTTAAAGGTGTCATTTTTCTAAGTAAATCACCCCTACCAGCTGCTTTTGTGTTATTTGCCTCTGTTCTCAGTTGAGTGCTGAAAAAGAAATTGCTTGTCATTGAGACTTCTGTCTGATGGAAGCTCTGCTGTTTTCAGAGGATGGTGACCAAGCCCCAGGCCACCATAAAGATATGCCGTCTTTAGTCCAGCTCTGCCAGGCCACAGAACCCAGAAGGGTCTCAGGGGCACACCTCCCCGGGCACGGGCCCAAGCAGAATCCTAGCCTCTGGGAGGGCAGGGACAGTGTGTGTTCATCTCAGTCACCCTGAGGCCTGGCAGTTTCTGAAATATGGGAGGCATTCAGTATACATTTGTGGAATTAGCAAAAGGACAGAGGGAGGAAGGGAAGGAGGGAGAGGAGGAGGAAGGGAGTGAGGGAAGGAGGAGCAAAACTGACACAGAGATGAGGGCAAGAAATGAGAGGTGTCAACTGGATGATTTGGTGAAGGGGTGTGTTGCTCCTTCTCATATGAGTGACATTTTGTCCCAGGGACTATCAGTATCAGATTAGAAGAACCTGATAGCATAAGTACTGAAATAAATACTCCGAACTTGGAGCGTTTCTAATAAGGGAAGAAATAACATTAGGGTAGTTATATAACAAGAAACATCTCCTAGACGCTTAAAGATTATAGCTCTAAGGAGGAAGAAAAACCCCACAGCTCCCTGAAGAAATCCAACATTACAAGCAGCTGGGGCAGTAACTTCTTATTACCATGCATTATTTCCATTTTGAAACTCCAGCCATATAGATTTGAGTGTCTTTTCATCTTCCCATCTTTTCTCCCCCTGCCCCTAAAGCAATTTCGTCTCGCATTGCTGCATTTGAGTAGTGTGGGAATGCCCCTCTTTTTTTCTGACCCTTCCATATGTTAATACTCTTTGGCATTGGTTTTAGAGCAAAAAAACTGACAAATCAGTTTAATGTCATGTGCCCCCTTGAGTAGATTGGTTGGGTCTCACTGGAGTGTTGAGAAGGATTCTGAAGCTGTGTCTAAGTTACATGGGGGCAAAGTTCATGCATGGGAAGAGGTGGAGAGGACTGGAGAGTGGCACTAGGCACACCACGTCCCCATTCAAGAGGAAAGTCAGAGCAGGGAACAGCATCCTTCAGGCTTTGACTTAAATGAGAGTCAATTAATGTCTTCATTTCATTTTCCCTTAGAGCCCGAAACTGGTCGGTTTTTGGCTCACGTTCTACAGTGGCTTGCGTGTAATATCTTTGCAAGCAGGGAGGAAAAGAGTTGACGATCTCAACAGTGTTTAAACCTTTCCTCTAATCGGTTGATGTCTGATATCCAATCCTGAATCGGACTTCAAGGCCATGGACAGGGGCAGGAATGAGAGACTGCTGAAAAATTTCTCCTGGTGGAACTATTTTCCAGTGGTTATATCAGAAGCAGTTTAAGCTTCTGAAACTCAAGCTCCACCTGGAAACCCCTAACTGAGCACCTAAGTTGCCATCCAAATCGGTGGCCTGGAATTTAGATTCGTGGGGAATCAGAATGTACTGAGGAGTAGCCAGGAGTGTTGACCGGCCACCAGGCACGTCCCATTAATGGCAGGCATGTGCACAGATGCATGCAGTGTGTGTCACTGAGGGAAAACACACACAATCATCTCGTTGGAGGCATTCTTTTTCAGAGGGAGAAACTGAGGCCCGGCCAGTGAGCCAAGCTAGATTGCATTAGCTGTAATACTGACTGGGCCCCGCTAGTCGGTCAGTAAATGTTCCTTGACTACTTTCCATGCGCCAGTTACAGACCCTGCAAATGGAATGGTGAGAAGACCCTCAAGCCCCCTGCCACAGGGAGCTTCCTTGCTTTTTGGAAGGGACAGACAACAGCACCCCAACAAATCAATGCTTTAGGGGACTAGCAAGTGCACTGAAGAAAATAGTGTGATGATCAGGGACGCTGCTTGACCTCCGTGTCCGGAGAATGCTGCTTGGAGGACGTGGCGTTCACATTTGGCCTGGAATGACACAGTATGCCAGGGTCAGTGTTGTAAAGATCTTGGGCAGGACCCAAGCCAGACGAACAACAAAACCAATGTCCGAGAGATGAAGGAGAGTCAGTGTGGTTGGAGCAGAGGGCATGCCCAGAGTCCTGTCTTCTGGCTCCGATAGTTGCCGAATTGTTAGTGGTGATGGTAGTGTCTCGTAAGCTTTAAAACTGTTATTGTACTTCCTCGAGTTGCTCTTATGTAAGCCATTGCATTCGGTTGGATGTGCTTGCTTGGTTGTATGGAGAGATTATGAAGAAATCTGTAAGTTAAGGTGAACCTTATCGTGAGCAATAACCCCTTTGGAGGGAGGCTCATCAGGTGGGGGGTGGGGACATTTCTGCTCCAGAGAACCATGCAGGTTGGTCGGAGGTAGAGAACGCGGTGTCCAGTGACCATAAACAGATTGGTTCAGTGGGGAGAGAACATCACACACCATCAACGGCTGACCTGCTTCCTAAACAATCTCAGCGAGCTCTCGTGCTTCCTCCCATGTGTCAGCGAGCTCTCGTGAGGACCGTGCTTCCTCCCATGTGCAGATGAATCCAGCCTTGTGTCCACAAACACTTGAAGAGCGGCATGTCCTGAGGGGGAGGATATTTTCCTTGTAAAACCCACATCCACTTCTGAATTCTCATCTCAGTTGCTGGCTACAGTCCGGGCTCTGGCCCCTAAACTGGAAACTGGCGGGTTGTGTACTCTCCACACCCCTGCTCTCCCGTTGGTGCCTTTGCCTCTGCTGCCCCTCTGTGGGTCGCCTTTCTCCTGAGTCAAGGCCAGCCCAGACCCTCCTCCAGGAAGCCTTCCTTGATCTCTGCCGGGGTCCATCCACTCGGCACCCTGCATTGTGTTCTGGCTGTGGTCTGTGGCCTCCAAGAGGCTGTGAGCTCCTGGGCAGGGAGCATGTCCCAGTCATTGTGTAGCTTTGCCCACCTACACACAGTAGGGCTTGGTCACTGTGAGGTAAACAGCTGAGCAGGCTGTCTTCATAAGCAGAGATTTTAGTTATTGGCTTGTTAGCATCAAAAGGACATGAAGGGAAGATTAATACTGAATACGGGCAACTGTTTTCTTCTTTATATTCCTCTAAATATATGAAGCAAATATCATTATTTTTAGAATTTTTTATGGTGAAATGTACATAACATAAAATTTGCTATTTTAACCATTTATGAGCCTACAACTCAGGGGCATTAAGTACATTCACACTGATGTGCAGCCATCACCACCATCCATCTCCGGAACTTTGGGTCATCCCAAACTGAAACCCTGTACCCACTAAACAACAGTTCCCCCCTCTTCCCTCCCCCCGCCCCTGGCAACCGCCCTTCTACTTCCTGTCCCTTTGAATGTGACTGTGCCAGCTATTTGATAGAAGTGGCCTCAGACAGCATTTGTCCTTTTGTGTCTGGCTTGTTTCATTTAGCATCATGTCTTCATGCTTCCTCTATGTTGTAGGACGAGCCAGAATTTCCTTTTTCTTCAGGCTGAATAATAATTCCACATTTGTACGTTTGTCCCACATCTTGTTTATCCCCTGCATCCGTTGATGGACATTTTAGTTGTTTCCACCTTTTGACCGCTGTGAACATGGGTGTGCAAATGTCTGTTCCAGGTCCTATCTTCAACTCCTCTGGGTATATGCCCAGAAGTGAAATTTCTAGATCCTATGATGCAGTCAATTGTACGATTTAGAAACATTTTTAATCGTTCTGAAATGGTCATTTCAATTCAAAGCAAAGGTTACTTTAGATGGGGCTCAGCAGAAATGCAGGCTGACACGTCAAACTTTTGTTCTCGTGGGCTAGGGATTGGCTGATGCTTGGTGACGTGAAATGATTTGTTTTCAAGCCCGGTGTCAATTTTTCTCTTACAGCATCAAGCTTCTAGCTGTGCAGGAGCTACTTGACAGAGAGGCCCTGGAAAAGGTAAATCTTTTGTTCTTACTACCCCACATTCACAAACTTAGAGCAGAGTGCCACACACAGGAAAAATTCAACTCCCTGTCGCCAAAGACAGCACTTACTGCAAAGTGGGTCTGTTATTTTGTGTTCTTAACAGTGAACCATGCAAAATTTTCATCCAAACTCCCTACATTGCTCATATCCTGTTACAAACTCAGTGTTGCTCGGCTCCTTCAGGGTTGCGTTGAAAGCAGAGGCAACCTTTCTTTTCCTTTCAACACCAGGCACTGGACCAGACTCCATGTTGGCCCCTTCACTCCATTTCTGCTTGTGGGTGGTAGTTACTCTCTGGGCTTGTGGATGGTAGAATGGAGGCCCAGTGAAGTTAGGTCACGTGCCCAGGGAAAATTAGCTAAGCGGCAGAGTAGAGATTTGAACCCCATGGTTCCATTTCCCAAATCAGTGCTTTTTCTGTTTAACAGGCAAGTTCATGAGTTTGATCCCCTTTTTAGGCTATTTGTGAGGATTAGGAAACTCCCTTCCCACCTCAAACTAATGTTTCACTATGCTCTGGAAGAGATATCCAGTGTTTCAGCTTTCTGTGATCAAGTCAAGCACGCACCTGGGGATCCTTTGCGGGTTATATGTTCAAGTTCTGTGTGTAAGGTGGGGTAGGCTCTGGAAAACAGATCAGGCAAGACCGAGAGCTTGGGTCTTGGCCCTCTTGGGCCTCCCAGCTCATACCAAGGTGCTCTCCTGGGGTGGCTCTATCTCTTCCTGACTGTGTAGCTATGGGTGCTAATTAGAATCTATAATGTTAGTGTAAAAGGAAGTGGTTATAGATTTAAACACTCAAGAAATATTATTTTATTTGTAGGATTTTAAATGTTTGGATTAGTGGCCAGTCTGCTGGTTGGCACTGAAGCAAAGTCTTTAAGCACCAAGCAGTGATGTGCAGGGAGGGGGCTGCTGAGCACTGACTCTGAATTTAACATTCCTTCAGGCTCATTTTCGTCCCAGGTAAAACAGGGATATTGCTGCTTGCCTGACCTCAGAGAGGCAACATGAGAACCAGCTGAGTTTGTGTAGCAGAAGGGCTTTCTAAATGCCAAAGCACTCGACACATATTAATTCTTAATTACTTGTATTAATTCTTAATACACATCCAGCCATTAAAATGCACGAGGCTCTAAAAGATATCCTTGGGCCTAATGACAATGTTGGATATGGATCGTAGATTAGATTAGAAAGTATTATATCAATATGAACTTTCCCTGGGCGCCTGGGTGGCTCAGTTGGTTAAGTGACTGCCTTCGGCTCAGGTCATGATCCTGGAGTCCCGGGATCGAGTCCCACATCGGGCTCCTTGCTCAGCAGGGGGTCTGCTTCTCCCTCTGACCCTTCCCTTCTCGTGCTCTCTGTCTCTCATTCTCTCTCTCTCAAATAAATAAAATCTTAAAAAAAAAAATTAAAAAAAAAAAATGAACTTTCCCTGACGTCGGTAACTGGCATGTGTCAGAGAATGGACTTATTCTTAGGAATTATACACTGATGTGTTTAGGAGTAAAGGGGCATGCTGTTTATAACCTCTTCTCAAATGGGTCAGAAAAAACTAATGGAGATATGGGTATGTATATGTGAGCCGGAGGGGGAAGGAGCATGCGTAGATGACAAAGCAAATGGGGCATAGTGCCAACAGTTGGCCCTTCTCGGGGGAGGAGCATATGAAGATTCTTCGTGTGTTTTTGAAACCTTTAAAAATTTACCTCTCCAAAAACAATTTTCTTCTCAATATTCTCTACAGTTCTTTTGTTTTACTCCTTAATTAATTAATTAATTAATTATTTATTTTTAAAGATTTTATTTATTTATTTGACAGAGAAAGACAGCGAGAAAGAGAACACAAGCAGGGGGAGCAGGAGAGGGAGAAGCAGGCTCCCCGCTGAGCAGGGAGCCCTACGCAGGACTCGATCCCGGGAGCCTGGGATCATGACCTGAGCCGAAGGCAGACGCTTAACGACTGAGCCACCTAGGTGCCCCTGTTTTACTCCTTAATTAAAAAAACCTCAGGGCGCCTGGGTGGCTCAGTTGGTTAAGCGACTGCCTTCGGCTCAGGTCATGATCCTGGAGTCCCGGGATCGAGTCCCGCATCGGGCTCCCTGCTCGGCAGGGAGTCTGCTTCGTCCTCTGACCCTATCCCCTCTCATGTGTTCTCTCTCTCTCAAATAAATAAATAAAATTTAAAAAAAAAAAAAAAAACCTCAGAAACCATCAGACAAAGCTCATAAACGTGGCGTCCATGTGCTAAGCTATATCCGTATAATAAGAACACAGACACGGAGAGTATCGATTAGGTCTTTCAGCTGTGTTAATATTGGATTTGGAGAAGCCGCATGGGCAAGCCAGTTTGGGGGTACTAACTGCTGGCAGAGAACGGGGTCCGGACTCGCTGTGGGCTGAGCCTGCCTCCTCTTTCCTAACTGGGGCATCCCGGGTTACTGACCCTCTCTGTACTTCAGTTCCCCAGTCTCTAAAGTGCAGATCTTTAGCATCCCCAATTCACAGAAGTTTGAGAAGATGAAGTAGACAGTCAATGTAAAGGACTTAACTCTGTGCCTGGCGCTCAGTGACCCCCAGAAGTTAGTGGCTGCCCCCGGTATTCCCCCCTCCCTCCACCCCCTCCTCCCTCATTCTCACCAAGTCCAATGATGGTTTTGTATTATTCCCCCATCTCTGTACGTGACAAGTGGAATGACTTACGAGATGGTCTAAATATGCACAGAGGCCAGCTGGGAGCCAAATTCACTTAGTGTCCTGCTTCCTTCCTTCTTTTGTTTGTTCTTTCGTTTGTTCATTCATTCATTCATTCATTCATTCATTCATTCATTTATACCAAGGCCTCTGTTGAGCCTTCTATATGCCAGGCAAGTAGCAAACATTTTTAGGAAAGTCCAGAAGCAACCAGTTGACATGAGCTTGGTCGTCATTGGCATTTTGAGGGACACATGGTATATTACCTGGCATCGTATTACTTTTTGCAGCAAGACTGGCCCAGTTCAAATGCTGGAATAAGGTAGATTCCCAAAGAGCCTCATGATATATGGGTTCTCACGCACCTGGACAAGTTAGAGAACCACCAAGAAAAGTTCTTAGTAAACTGCAGAGCTTTGCTACTCAAAGTGTGGTCTCTAGATCAGCATCATTGTAAGCTGGTTAGAAAAACAGAATCTCGGGCGCCTGGGTGGCTCAGTTGGTTAAGCGACTGCCTTCGGCTCAGGTCATGATCCTGGAGTCCCTGGATCGAGTCCCGCATCGGGCTCCCTGCTCAGCGAGGAGCCTGCTTCTCCCTCTAACCTTCCCCCCTCTCATGTACTCTCTCTCTCAAATAAATAAATAAATCTTTAAAAAAAAAAAAAAAGAAAAGCAGAATCTCAGGCTCCACCCAGACCCCCAGAATCAGTCTGCATTCTAACAAGACCCGTTGAGTTGCGTGCACTAAGGTCCAGGAAGCTGTCCTGAGGATAGCATTTATGATCATCATCCCTGCTGCTGACTCACCCATCTTAATAGAGAACCTCTGAGGTGTCAGATATTTGCTTTATCAGTTAAGCTCTTTTTTTTTTTTCACCAAAAGAGAAGCAAACATCATCATTCTATTTGTCAGAACCCAGTTTTTATCTTTAGTTTTCCTGCTTCCTCCTTTCATTTAGAAAATGAGCCAGAAAGGCCTCCATTAAGACACACATCCTGCAAACCTCAAACCTCTTTGACTGTCTTTGGAGCTGGGCTTCCAATGGCAGTCTGCCTTTAGGGTTTGCAATGGCTGAACTCCTGAGACCCAGTCACGGTGGAACTGGTACCCCTCCAGACGCAGTCCCAAGAGCAGGGATCTGTTGCCCACGTGCCTTTCTCTTACAGTATGGAAGCTGTTCGGGGGTCATCTTCCTCCCAAGTACTTGCAGGTTAAATCCGGCCAGTAAATAGTCAGATTATGTAAAACATACTGGAAAAGACTGAAGATAAGCAGCCATGTTTTGGGGTCTCCCATATACTAAGATTTCTAGTGCTTTTTCTCCCTAATATTAGGCATTGTTATATGGTCTTAGTATTTAAGCTTCAAATTACGAGCCATTTGCCTCACTTCTCCTGTCCCAGGATTTAAGCTGTGACAGTGGTGAGGTTTTCCTGGCTTCCACAGGGCCCCGGAGCCAGCTCTGGGGAGGCTCTGTTGTTGGAGAGCCGAGGTCCCCTCCCAGCCTCACCCCTGTTTGGCTGCTAACCTGGCAGGGGACCTTCCTTGGAGGCCCAAGCCCTTTTCTTCATGCATACAACTGATCTCTCTGGTGCCCTCCCACCCTAAAACACTTGGGTTTTACTTTCTAAATGGATCCCTGATCACATCGTGAAAAGGGGAAAATTCTTTTTTTCATGCTCTGTTTTCTCTTATTTTCTCTGCTTCCCTGCCCCAGTGGTTCTTACTGGGATTCCGGGGCCTTTATGGCTAACATCTGCCCTACTCACCATTAAAACACACTTCCTGGGGAGATATGAACGGTGAGCACGTGCCCAGTGACCCTCACACACTCAGTAGGGTTCCAGTTTTCTCCTCTCCTAACCCTGCTCCTCTTAAGTCAGGTGCAGTAGATTGGGGTGGAGGTTAGGGACCCCTGGGGGGATTAGGTCTCTGAATTTTTCTTCTCTACAAACACTACAAAAAGTCATTTCCTGGACAAGTGTCAGTCATTTGTCATATATTTTAAAAATAACCTATAAACCATACAATTAAAAAGCTAAGTTTCTCTACCAATTTCTTGTCTTAAAAAAACTGTTGGAACCATGAGAATATTACTTAATATGCATACATGTCAGGACATGTGACATTTCCCTGGCAAAATATTTTGGATTTCGCTGGGCTTTGTCGTCAAGCATCTATCAGGTCCCAAGAGCGAGGACTGGCTCTAAGAAGGATGCACGCCATCCTGTTGTCTCCCTTCTCTCTGCTTTAAGTGCAGGATGCTCTTGTT